GGAAGTGATATACAAGTCCTTATTATAAATTAATTATCACTATATCATTCGCCAAGAGTCCAAGAAATACTACTTTTGACTGAAAACCCTATCAATATTCATTATCTGATCGGTGGACAATTTTATTTTATTTTTTTTCCTTTTTGCAGGAAAAAAAAAAAGGACAAAATCGATGTCCTGTCGTACATAGTTATTCACAAAAGACCCAAAATAAGTTTCATAAAATTCGTTTAGAACTCATTTTAAAATAATTTTATTTTTTGTATAAAAATAAAAATAAAAATATTTTTAATCTCAGATAGAAATTATTTTTAAAAATGCATTTAGTAGTTTTATTAAGATATTGTTTTCAGTATAAAAAAATCTATTAATGTCTCTCTATCTCTGTGTGCTCGAGAGAGGAGAAAACATAAACAAAAAATGAAAAATGACTAAAAGTCATTTTTTATTTCTCTCACATTTTACACTAAACTAAAAAATCATTTTCATTTTCATTTTTTATCTTTAATTGTGCCAAACATCGTTTCTCTCTCGTTTTCATTTTTTCTTTCTCGAAAAATGTGAAAAACAAAAATAAAACTAACTTCAAACACGACCATAACTTTTATAGGGAAAAATAGAAAAACAAAAAAAACCTTAAACAGAGAGTCCAAAGAATAGGTCTAATTGTAAATTTAAAAAAAAAAAAAAAAAAAAGAAGGAAAGTTTGATAACGTTTTGTTTATGTACTCAAAATCATAATTCAGAACTATTCTTGATTTATGTGAATTTTTTGTGAGAAAAAATACTGTAACGAGTCATAAATCATGATTCGAACCATGACACGAATCATTACTCTAAACGCACACGTGTTATGGGATGATCCGTACTTACTAATTCATCCGTGACTGCAGTCCGTAGTGCGCCAGAAATTTTTTTTCTGAGGGGTTGTGAGTTAAATAGAAACTTTTTTAATCTATTTTTATTTCTTATTTATTTAATCACTAACTGAATTTAATTCACCTTCTAACAATAGTTAATTTTTTCTTTTATAGGGTATCCTCAAGAGTAATCTATCAGGTAACTACTGGTATTCGGCTTGACTGAACGAAAGACTGTAGGCTGCAGACTCACCAATGTAGTAAAAATTTTGAATGCTCTAAAAAATTAGCTCTATTTTCTCGTAGAAGGGGAACTCATCTTCACATCCATATAGGTGGATTCCACCACGTATGCAATAACTAAATTATGGATCCATTAGACCCCATCTTGATGATTTTATTTCACATATCGAATCTAATTCCTAAGATCTCCATTGGCATATATAGATTGGGTTGTCACCATAGGTAGCTCATTCAATGATTTTTTTTCTTATTTTGAAATATGAAATTTGTAATTTTGATTTTAGAGTTTCTATCTGCATCACTTTATAAGAAGGTTACTATCTAGGAGTCAAGTCAACTGGGCTTGTTCTTTTATAACAAAACTCAAAAAAAATTTGAACTCAAGTTACAACTTTATTTAAATTCACGTTCTTTTATAAAATTTGAGTTTGGACTTGAGTTTTAACTCCAGTTTTAACTTGAGTTTGAGGCTAAAATTTGAGTTTAAATTTTCCCTTCAATTCAAGTTCATAAACTTAAACTCAAGTTAATGAACATTATTTTTACTCATATATATATATATATATGAGTAAAAATAATGTTCATTAACTTGAGTTTAAGTTATTTAGTTAACTAAGATTATCAAGATTTAAGATCATTTTTACTCATATAAATATACATGCATACATACATATATATATATATATATATATATACGGTTCAGGTAATATATATACATATATATTTTTAAGAGACGATATTTGCTGAAATTCAGAAAGAAAGGGAAAAAAGCTGCTAGGCTGAATTATGTGATCTACACAATACAAGGACTTTAACTCATTAAATTTAGGAAATGGAAAACATGGACTATTACAGTTTAAGTAACATTCATGCACCTTTAGAGGATGAATTATAGGAATTGGTTTAGAGAATTAATATTTGGACTATTCCTAAGATCTCCATTGGCATATATAGATTGGGTTGTCACCATAGGTAGCTCATTCAATGATTTTTTTTTCTTATTTTGAAATATGAAATTTGTACTTTTGATTTTAGAGTTTTTATCTGCATCACTTTATAAGTAGGTTACTATCTAGAAGTCAAGTCAACTGGGCTTGTTCTTACTCAAAAAAGTTTGAACTCAAGTTATAACTTTATTTAAGTTCACGTTTTTTTATAAAATTTGAGTTTTAACTTGAGTTTTAACTCGAGTTTTAACTTGAGTTTGAGGCTAAAATCTGAGTTTAGGTTTCCTATTCAACTCAAGTTCATAAACTTAAACTCAAGTTAATGAACATTATTTTTTCTATTCTTAAAAACACTATAATTTTTTTGTTTTAATTCCGATTAAGATAATTTTTTTTCTATGTGTTCACAACGAAGAGATGAATAAAATCCCACCCATATACCCTATTAAAATTTTTCATTACCATTGAGTTTTTATTAAAATACTATCTAAATATAAATTCAAGTTTTGACCCACCCAAACACAAACTCAAATAAATTCTCAATTCAAATCATAACTCAAATGTGCACATTCAAACAAAAATTTAAGTTATAACTTTAACTCAAATTATAAATTAAATTTAACTCAAAATCTACACTCAAATTATCATAACTCAAAAATGTCACCGAACAAGCACTAGTATTTTTAGTTTTTGAGATGGGTTTGGTGTCTACTTTTTAAATTGATGGGGAAGGCTTTATTGTTGTAGAGATTTTCCTACACCAAACTTGATCATAAGTTACATAAAAACTCTAGTATTTTTAGTTTTTGAGATGGGTTTGGTGTCCACTTTTTAAATTGATGGGGAAGGCTTTATTGTTGTAGAGATTTTCCTACACCAAACTTGATCATAAGTTACAGAAAAATTTAACCTCTTCATTTAACCGATTCAAGTTTTGTTATAGTAAAAAGCTTTTAGAAACAATTATATTTAATTTTTTTGTTATACTAAAAAACTCTCACATAAAATCACATTTTAATTAGAATTAAAAACTTGAAACTAAACAAAACAAAGAAAACACACCAGTTAAATCAGGTTGGGCGAAAATGCCTACATCCTCTCGCAATAACTAATTTATAAAACAATTATCTATACATTACAAGAATAAATCACAACTAATTAACTTTATACATGGGACTTCACTATAAAGGAGTAGACGCCTAAGAGTTTTCAATGAAGTCACTTAAAAACAATACTGACTTGACAAAACGACTTGGCGTATGGCTTCACACGACATCCAGTTACTTTTATCTTGACTAAATTGGATCATATCGGAGCAGATTTTTTTTTTTTTACTCATTCGAGTTAAAAAGTGAATTTACGTGAAAAAAATACTGTAACAGAAAATATTGAATTTGAATTTTCATAAGAGAAAATACTGTAACAAAAACTTGAGTTATGATTTAAACTAACGAAATGAACGGGAGCTTAACAATCTTCCACTTCAGTTGCTATATGATCTTGAATGCAGACCTTCCTTAGGTATCCTTGCTCGATTCAATCTTCAATCACCCACGCTGCAATTCTTAGCATATCAAGACAATATGCTAATAGTTCCCCACTTTGGTCCCATATTTGTAGGATTTTCTTCAATGAGAACCTTCTGAATTGTAGCCACATCCTGTGGAACTCTCTCTGATGAAGTGATATTTCACATCCATATGTTTTTGTTCTCTAATGAGATTCTTATACAATTGGGTATCACTTTGACTGTTTGTATAAATTGATTATACAATTTCATATTTTCTCCGTCACCAGCATCGTCTGAATCTAGAAATCCCTCCGACTCCAACTTGCTTGTCGTGCCTAGTGTATTGCAGCCCCAAATTGGTCGTGACTGAAATATATCTGATAAGCCATTTCATGGCCAACCAATACTCCTTTCCAGGATTAGACATGTACCTCCTAAGTGTGCTTATAGAATGTGTCATATCAGGTTTAGTTCATACCATAGAATACATTATAAATCCAACTATATTTTTAAAAAGGCACTTTAAAGCCTCCGCTATTTTCCATGTTATCTTGTCGATCTCAGACCCTCACGCTACCTTTTGTCGATCCTGAAGCCTCCACGCCCACCCCCATCGATCCCAGACCATTCACACCTCCTCCCATAGACCCTCCTCGCCTCCTACTGATCCTAGACCTACTGTCACCACCTTCACCCGATGTGAGCCCCTCCTCCGCCTACTGCCATGTTCTTTTGCAACAAAACTCAGAAAAAGTTTAAACTTAAGTTACAACTTTATTCAAGTTCACGTTTTTTTAAGTTTCAACTTTATTCAACTTTACTCAACTTTATTCAAGTTACAACTTCAACTCAAGTTATAACTCAAATTCAACTTAAAAACTACATTCAAGTTACACTACAAAAGAACATGCCCAGAGTTTTTTGCAATTTGAGCTATGAAGTTGTTAGTTATTTTACCAAATACCCTCACATAATACGTTACATGCCTTGCACGTGATGTATTCTGTTAAAAACTTAATAGAAATGACGAAATGGACATAATTGCCAACACTTTACAACTTAGGGACAAAAGTGTCAACTACTAAATAGCTAAGGGACTATTAGAGCAAATTACTCACTTTAAAACATTGTTAAGGAATTTAGTTAACTAAGATTATCAAGATTTAAGATCATTTTTACTCATATATATATATATATATACGGTTCAGGTAATATATATATACATATATATTTTTAAGAGATGATATTTGCTGAAATTCAGAAAGAAAGGGAAAAAAGCTGCTAGGCTGAATTATGTGATCTACACAATACAAGGACTTTAACTCATTAAATTTAGGAAATGGAAAACATGGACTATTACAGTTTAAGTAACATTCATGCACCTTTAGAGGATGAATTATAGGAATTGGTTTAGAGAATTAATATTTGGATATATCTATATAGAGGGTAAATTGAACTCATTGATTATGAAAACTAAAAACAAAGTTAAAAAAAAAAAAACAAAAAAGTTTTTATAGTCAGTATTTACAGATCCAACTCACCAGACCCAGACAATGAAATGGGACCAAGGGAATCACCTTCCAAAGTGGCAAGCACACCAAACTCATTCTTTACATTTCCCCAATTCTCAAACCATCTAACCCCCAACACCATAAAACAAACCACAACACCATTCTCTATCTTAGCAAACTCATTACTAACAAAGAGAGGTTTTCTATCATGACCGCATTTCTGGCAGGCCATTTTTTGACCATAAACATACTGATAGCCAGGCATTTTTCTAGCAGAAAGGTAGGCATATTTGATAGGTCCACATCTCAAGAAAACCCCATGCCTATAAATGCAGTGGACGATGCCCTGCAAGATCTCTCCTTCGTAAGGTAGGAATGTGCGACAGTTAAAGACTACTGGGAAGAAAACGTCACCTGACTCTTCGACAGCCTTCATTTTGCCTATCTTCTTCAAACTGGTTACTGCAAGAAAGTAGCCGTGATCCTTGCTCGCCTTCTCCCTCACCAGGTCCTCCAAAAGCCGCGTCATAATGAAACTTTGAGGCCGAGAAACAAGTCCATCGCTCTTGATGTTTTCAGCATCGACTGTCACATCTCTTATCAGCTCTACTTCAGAAAACATATCTGAAATTCATTTCAATACGTTAAAATGGCAAAAGAACAAATCGGATTCTTGGAAATGAGTCAAAACACAAATGATAGGATACTATCAATGAAACCAACAAATCAATAAACCCAATCATCATAACACAACATACCAGAACAACCATGTAACCTTTTTTCTCAACTAGTACCTCTCTAACAAAATAAAAAATATAGGAAACTCCTTTAACTTACCTATTACCCAAAACATTGAGTTGTGTAAAGTATGTACCAGTTTATACGAGTCATAATTTCCATTTTACCATTAAGTTCTTGAAAGCGACCGTGAACAACCTTCCTTGAGATTGTTAATAAAACCATGAGTTTAAATAGATGTTTTTACTCATCTCAGTAATGACTTATCCAACACATAATGTGAAGTAGCATATAGAATTCTATTGTGGCAAATTTAGAGCATAACAAACATCGTACTGGTGCCGGGATTCTAAACACCAAATCAATTTCAGTAAATAATTGGTGTGTTTAAGGAATTAGAGAATCATCTTATGGAAGAAAAGAATACAAAAGGAAAAAAAAATGCAACATTATCAATCTCAACTTAACGTGGATATGATCGACCGTCTCAGGAACCAAGAAATTTTTTTTATTAAAAGTGAACTAGAGACTATGTATAAAGAAATCTAAAGCATTATCCTTCATTGCTACAGCAAAGAAAGAAAAGCATGAGCTTTTATTAGTACAGAAAAAATTGGAATGGAGAAAAATGAAACATCAAATAAATAAGGATAACCAGATATTATAATTAGAAGCTTTCTAGTGCATTTCTAGGGTGAGGGCAACTCGCCGTCGGACTATTGCCCGCAACTGTAAGATTTAAATCTAGCAATGCATATGATATGTGGTTGGATACCACAAGAGCATTCTTTGGACAAACCCCTGTTCACAAGCGTCATTTGGTTTTAAATCATAAACCTGCAGTCAATACTCCTACGGTGAGTGCCTCCACATGATACTCTCTCTCTCTCTCTCTCTCTCTATCTCTCTCTCTCTCTCTCCAGTATTACCCATCACAGGAAATGCAAAATTCTTCTCACTTCTTTCTAGTCCCTTAATCCTACCTATCTAAACCATGATATGTGGTTGGATACCACAGGAGAATTCTTTGGACAAACCCCTGCTCACAAGCGTCATTTGGTTTTAAATCATACACCTGCAGTCAATACTCCTACGGTGAGTGCCTCCACATGATACTCTCTCTCTCTCTCTCTCTCTCTCTCTCTCTATCTCTCTCTCTCTCTCTCCAGTATTACCCATCACAGGAAATGCAAAATTCTTCTCACTTCTTTCTAGTCCCTTAATCCTACCCATCTAAACCATGATATTGTTACCACATCTTAATAGGTATTATCTTCTTGGCGTTGGCAGCCAAGTCCATTCTCAGGCCCAATGTCAATTCTCAAGCACTAAACTATGTGGTTATTCAAGGGGAAAAAATAAAAAATAAATCTCCGCCCATAAAAGAACCAAGTTACAATCTTTCCTGAAAAATTCACACTTTCCTGTATTAAGCGTGTAAACCTAAGATCCAACATGGTTCAACAGATAAATTCAACATTTCCCACATAAACAAAAAATAAAAGAAAAAACTTTTCCCAGTTCTCAGAAACACATAAATTTTCCAAATATATATCCTAAACGAAAAGGAATATTATTATTAAACTAAAACACCAAAACGAGGTGAAATTCTCTAAGATGAGAAGAAAAAAGAGGTCAAAAGAAAGAACCTGGTTAAGATTTGAAAGTAACTCAGTAGAGAAGGCGTATGGAAGAGGTCCACTGGCTTGTCCAAAATGAAGAGAGAGAGGAGTGAGTGACTATGGAAGTTGGGGGATGTGCATTGCGCACACTCTTTTTGGTTGGTTTAAAACTTTGGTTCACTGAATCAAAATCGCTTTTACTTTATGTGTATTTTTTATAAAAAAAAAATACTATAATAAATTATAAATTATGATTTAAATTATTATTTGAATCTTTATATTAAACACATTCTTAATTCAATTGGATAATGATTGTGCTCCTCAAATAAAAAATAAAAAATATATAAAATATAAAAAATATAAAAAAAATAAAAAATAAAAAATAAAAATACACAGTTCGAGTGTTAGAATGACAACTTACAATGCAACTTGAAATCATTTTCAATTTATGTGTATTTTTTATAAAAAAAAATACTATAATAAATTATAAATTATAATACTATAATAAATTACTGTGCTCCTCAAACAAATAAAAAAATAAAAATAAAAAACATAGTTCGAGTGTTGGAATGACAAATGACAACGCAACTTGGAACTTGCGCGCTCTGTTGGGGGCTGTTTGGAGACTCTGTTATCAATAACCAAACGCCGATTGAAGGGACTCCTTTTACACCTATATATGAAATATCAAGTTAAAAACATAGTTGGTTAAAAGAATTGGGGGGGGGGGGGGGGGGGGGGTGGGTCACTTGTCCATTTTATTTGCAGGAGATTCAGAATTATGGATTTGAATCACCTTGAATCAAGAGGAGAGTAGTTTTAAAATCATGATTTGAGATAGTTTAAAACATCAAATCAGATTTCAAATCATGATTCAAAATAATTCAAACCAAACACTGATTCTGAATCATGATTCAAAATCATTGTAAACAAACACTGATTCTAAACCAGGATCCAGAATCATGATTTTGAATCCATCTAGCACCTTTAAATCAAATGCGCTTCAGTGTACCTCTATGAAAGATTTCGATCAAAGCTTCAAAAGTACGCTTGAATTCCTCTTCTTTGCTTTTTGTGCGGTGGAGACAATTTGAAAAGCTAGGAGCGACAAGGTGTTTAGTGGAAAAGACTTCAACCGTCACACAGTTTATACAGATGTTGTATTACAAAGCAATGAGTATCACTCTCTCTTAACCCCGAGAGCAGATCAGAAATATAACAGGAAGTTGGCAGACTTCTCCTCCGGGGTGGATCAAAGCTAATGTTGATTGCTCCTTGGGTCTTACAAGAAGGGTGGTAGCCGCAGTGTGGAGAAACTCATATGGAAGGGTGGTGTTGGCGGCCGCAAGTTTGCACAATACCCAGGAGCCTCTGGTTGCCGAATTGGAAGCTATTCAGTTCGCATTAAGGACATCTCTAGATGCCAAGTTCTCGTCCGGTGCTGTTGAAAGTGATTCGGCCACTATCATTAAGGTTTCGTTCATTTTACTGATTTGAATTTTTAGTTCTAAATTTTTACAATTAAAAACTCTTAGAAAATATCACATTTAATTTTTTTTGTTACAGTTAAATTTTTTTAAAAAATATCATATTTTTACTTAAATTAAAAATTTAAATCTACGAAATGAACGGAATAAGAGTCTTTCGGGCTTCTTAGCAGATTGCCCGTGTATCATTAAAAAGTAAAAACATCAAAGTAGACTGACTACCTCAAGCTGGCCTTTATTTTGTTGTGTTTAGTTTTTTTTTTTTTTTTTTTGCGTCTTGGGGGGCTTGTGTTAGTTGTGCTGGGTCTGTGTGTTTGTCCTTCTTCATTTTCAGTAGAATGGAATATCTTTTTAGCAAAAAAAGAAAAAAAAAGGTTTAAAACAGATATCAATTCATCAGAAAAATAAAACACAATAATATAAAATAAAAAACATTTACTTTTGAGTAATTTTGATAAATATCTTTTAAAATGGTACATTAAAAATTTGTAGATCTTAACATTTACTTATTGAATTTTACCTCTTTAGAGTAAATAATTTAACTGATTATTATCAATAATTTGATACATATCGCCGGTAGTGGGTCTCAAGTCACCGGTGGTGGGCGTAATTTAACATATTATTATTTAAAATTTAATAAATTATTATTAAAGGGATAACATATCATAATAAATAAAATTTCAGAAAGATATGTTTAAGGGTCAGCAATTTTCTCTTTACTACTTTCTAGTTGATAATTGGTGGCTAATTTAATGGGCTCACAGGTAAGCGGATGGAAGACGATATCTATGTTTGGTAAGCTGCCAGTTAACTGATATCATCTGGACATTATTGGGCTTGTTGGACATCGGTACTTGAAGCCGAGACTTGTTGTCTTTATATGGCATGATCGAGAAATCACGAGAGAAATAGAGAAATAGGTCAAGACTTGAGATAAATTAAAATTAATAAGTCAATAATTTACATAAGTTAATAAATATGCTAAATTACTGTTTTCGTCCATAACTTGTCAAGTTATGGTTACTTGTCTGGTTATGAACCATAACTTGACAAGTTATTATCTATAAATTACGATTTTTGTCCATAACTTGCTTATCTATGAACCATAACTTGACAAGTTTGTCCATAACTTTGGTTATGAACTATAACTTGACAAATTATGGCATATTAATTTCTATAACTAAAAATTAGCCTATATACTTTTTTAAGTTTTTTATATTGGCCTATTTTCTACTATAAATCATTTTGGTTGGGTTGGAACAATATTTCTGGAGGACGTTGTGCATGCGGAAATAAGAAGAGTTGGCACTTTTCAATTTTTAGAGAATGTTGAGGAGGCATTACCTATTAATGGAACTTGGCTTTGGGGATTCTTATAGGATGATCTCCCATTTGTAGTTGATGTATATATGACCTTGAAGACATACCTTCCTTTTTATTGGTGCACGTGGGCATAACATATATATATATATATATATATATATATAT